ATATTCTTAAAACAAAAAGATTATTGAATATTACTTGCTCATTTTACTTTTCACCATACTTTGAATTAGAACTCTATATGTCCTCTACATACCTTGACTGACCTTTTAACCATTTGAAGAACATTCATGAACATTCTCAAATTTACAAGCCTTGATAAACCAATGACAACTTCGTCTCTATGTATATAAAGACGTGCAGCATAATTAATCCCACATTGTCATGATAAGGTCCCTGGTTGTCAGGTCGTCCTAGGTAATGTATTTCTAGTAATATTCTTTTTCTCAAAAATGTATTACTGGTAATATTTTTTTCTCAATGTATTGCTGGTATTTTTTCTCAAAAATATATTGCTGGTAATATCTATTTTTTTCAAAAATGTATAGCTGGTATTAAAACCTATTTTTACACTTTCATAGTGTTTTGACCCAAGTTTGGGGTTAACTATTTATCCGTAGCTGGGACCTTAACAGTTGCTACGAGCTCGGGTCAGGACGAAATATCATAGTGGAGATTCGGTTTTAGGCAGAAAACCAGACAAATAATCTATATGAGTCGCGAAGCATTCTGCTTTATCAGCATTAGATGATAGCACTTCAGAAAGGAGGGATTGAGGATTTACCCTTTTTAATACTCGTCCTGGGTATGACGATAAACTACATCCGCGTCCTGGGTAAGACGATAAACTACGTCCAGCAGCAAGGCCTCTGATCAGGAGGTTTTGAGGAGCGTGGAACCATCTCTTAATTGCTGGTGTTCCCAGGTCCACTCTGACCCGGGGTGGTAGCACCTGTTAGGTTCACAGCTATGGGAAAATAGTTAACTATTACCGGCAATAATTTTTTTGAAAAAAAATATTACCAGCAATACAATTTTGAAGGAAATATATTACCAGAAACAGATTTTTGACAAAACAAAATATTACCAACAATAGAAAATTTTGTCGGCCATTAAATAACCCATTGAGGTTGATATGCCTAAAACAAAATAAACCAAACCAACCTAAACCAAAGAATACATACTCTATTCATACGAATCTATCCTAAAAATGTTGTCGGCATTAAATAACCCATTGAGGTTGATATACCGTAAAACAAAATAAACCAAACCTGGTTGTCAGGCTATTATAAAATTATCCGCAATTTCACTACCAAGACAGTTGCAGTAAATGATGTTTGACGATATAAGTCAACTAACAGTGAGAAATATAACACCTAAGAAAAAAACTATTGAATGCAGAGAGAGTTAAGTTCATGAACATTTCTCAAAAAATGAATGAACAAGTTATTATTTAAGTTCTTTGCTTAAAACAGGCCAGTAAATATTGCGTATTTATAAAACTGAGATCAGGAAACCAATCAGTTGAATAGGATTTGATCCAAATAAAATTGGTAAATGGCCTTCAAAATGAGAAATAACGGCAAATTACTCTAATGCATTTACAAGTGGGGAAAGTTGTCACTAGAACAGTGTGTCGAATTTGTTCAGCAACAAGAATTGATTCGAAAGTTTAATATAACAAAAGTTATGGATCTGGTAGAGGAAATGGACACATACGCAATAAAGAGACAAAATAATGTGTACTTTTTGTATTTATCAACATCTAAGAGAAAAACTAAAATATCCTGCATATAAAAAAATGTGAAAAGTTTTTCAAAATGAATCATTTTAAATGTATGTGTAAATCCAAAAAGAGAAACATAGAGACGGTCCAACAAAATGAAGAGTAAATAAGTATGGACCTCTTTTCATTAAAAAAAAAAAAAAGAAATGAGAAAGGGCTATTAAATATTCAAATCAATAATCTTTTATTGGACATAGCAACTAGATACGGGAAGTGACGTGACGTTGGATACCCAGAAATTTCTGGAAAAAATTAGAAAAACCAAGATTAAAGAAAAGCCATATCCAATTGAATCAGTTCAACAGATCCATGTTAAGACCGTTAAACTATTCTGAAGCCAACGTGGACCTAAAAAATAAGTTTGGTGTATTACCAAATATTGTAGTAAACTGTGAAAAGAATCATGGCCTAATAGGAAATGATGTATTGAACATAAATTCGACAAAATTAGTAAACAAAGTCAAAGCAGAAGAAACTGGAATGTTAAAAAACTATGGAGGAAAGTTGAGACTCAAGGAAAACGTTTCCCCCACATATTTTCAAGCACGAAAGGTGCAAGTCCATCTACTACCAATAGTTATGGACCCCCCCCAAAAAAAAAAAAATACTGGAAAGTCTACTTGAACGAGTTACGCCAGGAAGGAGCAAATGGTTCTCCTCCGTTAGTAATTTTAAGAAAGAAGGATGGGGATCTGCGTATTTGTGTTGACTACAAAATAGGCGTAATAGACTCATATCCTATTCCCAATGTAGAGTGGGATTTGAACTCCCTAGCGGACATGAAAACATTCTCTAAAATTAATCTAAAGTCGGCATACCATCAAATACCTATTGAATGAAATAAATACGCCAATAGGCTTGTTAAGATGGAAAAGAATTTTAAGACATTTTTTATGTTTATACGCTCTTTTCATAGATACAAATATTTAAGTAAGTGCTCCGTTTTATTATAAACAGTATTAACAATGAATTTCCGAGAAATTTTCATAGGAACCGTCATATGGCCTGACATGCTTTACCGATTTAGCCACGGAGGAGCGTTTCGGTTAGCAAGGTCGATTTTACTGTTTTTAAACTACAATTCTCCATGATTTTCTCTCGTACATTCATATCTGCTCGATGCGTATCCAAATGTAAACAAATGACGTAATGTAAAAAATGTCTTAAAATAATTGTCGGACTTTGTCCATGTCATAATGTGTGATGTCATGGATATGAGTTTGTGACCCTGGGTTTCACACTTTTGCAAAGAGTTTGTCTGGTGGCCGCAAAAGTGTGAAAACCAGGTCTAAAATTCATATTCATACAAATGATTATGTTAGCTCTATCACTGATATTGAGCGCTTTTCACTAAGTACTGCACATACAAAAATAATATATATATATATGTGTGTGTGTGTGTATATTATAAGAGAGAGAGAGAGAGAGGGGGGGGGAGAGAGAGAGATTGTAGGTTATTATGTATTTCGCACCATCAAAAAAAATTGTCTGGTCGACAGTTCCAGCCAAGTCAAGATATCGACAAATTCCCCAGAGAATTCATCGAATTAAACTCAGAATCTTTCTTTTACGATGAAATATACAGTAAGCTCATCGAAAACCAGGTGAAAATTACTTTATGACTGAAAAAGGATTCTCTGAATTTATAAGAATAAGATGTTTTAAAAAATGCCGGAATATTTTTTTTTATTGGCTTAATATTTGGTAGTGTTTGTCTTTCCCCATCTATCTACATGATGTCTCGTTGTCTATATATGTATATATTTTGAACATGTCTTATAAAATAGAACAATTTATATCTGTCAAGTCTTTCACTGAGTTTCTGCTAGTGTAATAAATTGCTTGATGTCAAATCCATTGTCCTTTTTTCATAGAATAGTCAAAAGATAACCAGTGGCGTGATTGTCAAGTGACTAAACTGACTGTATAGTTCAAATATATTTTAACACATTAAAAATTAATCAAAATTAAAACCAATTTTATTGGAGGGTTGCCATTAATTTGATGTGGAAAACTTGCACAATTTTTAATCCTATATTACAGTTGGATTAGCAGAGTACTATAATCTTATAGCAATTAGAAGGGATGCTGTGGATTTGTTAATTTTTTTAATATTTATATAATTAGTAAAGCAGATAAGGAAATTGAACATTTAAATAGGCTGTGCTAGGGATAGTCTAATACAACACTGCAAATTACTACAAAAATCAACACCTTAACCTAAAAACTTATGTTCTTTAAATAGCCTTGTCAGAGTGGAGCTTTCATGTGGCTATCATACATGGTGTCAAACTCACTCAAACTCAGTTGTATGAAACTGCTTTCTCGGATCAATGGTTAAAAATGGCTTTGAGACGGCAATGGGGAAACCACTTCACGATCTTTTCCAAAAATGCGTGGCAATTCAAATAATCAAAGAATTGGGAGTGTGATATAAAATGGCTTTATTCGCTCAATATTTAGTAGTGTTTGTCTTTCTCCATCTATCTACATAATGTCTCGATGCCTATATATATATATATATATATATATATATATATATATTTTGAACATGTCTCATTAAATAGAACAATGAATGTCAGTCAAGTATTTCACTGAGTAATAAGTTGCTTGATGTCAAATCCATTGTTGTCCTTTTTCACAGAATGAAGTAAGATTTTTTTTATGATATGAGACGATTTCAGATCAGAAGGCGTTTCCCAGACAGTGAAAATTAAAAAAAAAAAAAAAACGAGACGTAGAACTAAACAGACCGAGATGTGACGTGTAAAGCGAGTCGCTACATTAATAACCTTTACGCCGATTAGATCACTGAAGGCAAATCGGTTCGTACAGGCATTATGCTTGTTAAAGCTTTGACCGCCTTTTAAGCAGTAATTAATTAACAACTTTTGAATCAATTTCAGTGAGACGATAACGACATCAAAGAACTCGTAAAAAGGGTAAAAGATTGTTTCCGTGGTGAGGGATTACAAAGAAAACGTAGCTTTTGCTATTCAATAGTGAGATTTTGTTATGATAATGGTCACTAACATTTCTTGAGATAGATCAATGGTCACATCAACAGGCTTACCCACCAAAAGTGTTCTACTATAGTCTTCTTTATACCCCCCCCCACATGCACAAAAACAAACACATTAACACGTACAGGAACTTTTCTAACTTTAAAGCCAAAGTCAGTGTCTTCTTTTATGTTATAATTCTTTCTACCTTATTCTTATTGTTCCTTTTTAGTACAAAGCTTGGAACACTAGTTATCTTACGATCATCGAAGTTAAGCAACGTCGAGCCTTGGTCAGTATTTAGATGGGTGACCGCTAGGGAATAACAGGCGCTGCAAGCATTAAAATTCAGAAGTGATAATAAACGGACCTATAACGTTGAAACACCGGTTCTCGTACGATCATCGAAGTTAAGCAACGTCGAGCCTTGGTCGGTATTTAGATGGGTGACCGCTAGGGAATAACAGGCGATGCAAGCATTAAAATTCAGAAGTGATAATGAACGGACCTATCACGTTGAAACACCGGTTCTCGTACGATCATCGAAGTTAAGCAACATCGAGCCTGGTCATTATTTAGATGGGTGACCGCTAGGGAATAACAGGTGGTGCAAGCATTAAAATTCAGAAGTGATAATAAACGGACCTATAACGTTGAAACACCGGTTCTCGTACGATCATCGAAGTTAAGCAACGTCGAGCCTGGTCATTATTTAGATGGGTGACCGCTAGGGAATAACAGGTGGTGCAAGCATTAAAATTCAGATGTGATAATAAACGGACCTATCACGTTGAAACACCGGTTCTCGTACGATCGCCAGAAATCAAAGGAAATAGAAATAATAATAAATCCCCTGATGTTACTCAAGGCAAGACATGACTTCTGACCTTAATTGATTGGGGATGTTAGCACGTACATGCTTTGTCTTGATGAATTAAGATGGGCTACGGTAAATATCCCGTTCAGTACCATGGAATTATTTGCCAGTTGCGTGACCATAAGCAGTTGGGCATGTCCTCTAGGGGCTGAGGTATTGTGCATGGCTGTTCATGAGCGATAATAGTGGGAGTGTATCATGCCTGCGTATCGGGAGGGTTGTTTTCTTTTTTAAGGTTGAAAGCAAAGGCAACCAAGGCAACTTAGATACTTGCGAACTCCTTGAATCGGAGGCCCCTGGCAGACTAGGTTACTCGATTTTAGGGGTTTTTTCTAACTGTGCCCCACCTGTAAGGATATATGTTGCTTTTATCAAAACCTGTCGCTATATCGAACATATTTGTCTGCGATTCAGGTGCCTGTTATATTCTTATCAGACTGTGTGCCAAGACGGGTATTTTGTTATTGTATTTGCATCACAGCGTTACTCTGTCTGTTCTTCTGTGAGCCGTCCCTTCAGAACGTTGGCAAACACGGCTCTCCACAATTTCCTGTCCTTTGTAACTCTCAATAAATGTTGACTTTTTTTAATCTCTCCTAAACACTGTTCTTCCATCCATTTACACAAGCTCGGTAGGTCATTTTTCTCTCTCTGTCCCTCTTACCTTCAATCTGTTCTATGAGTGTGAGATTTTCCAACCTCTCTTTCCTCCTTACGTGCTTTACAAATTTCAACTCTCTCTTCCTGATATTAAGTATGTGTCCTTTTTGTTACCATTTTCTCTAAAACTTCATCGTTGCTCACATGTTCAGTCTATGGTATTCTTAGCATCCCTCTGCGGAACTATATTTCTGCTGCTTCAAGTCTCTTCTTCATCTGGGAGGAGATTGTACAGCATTTACTGCCATGTAGTAGGACTGGTATTATTTTAAAATGCAGAACTCTTTTCCTTGTTTCGAATGACATTTTCCTGTTTCTTAATACTTTACTTAACTTTTGAAAGGGATCTTTCGCTATCTCAAGGCGTTTCAAATTTCAGTGTCGCTCTTTCCGTCCTCATTTAAAACATTTCCCAGATATTTAAATTTTTGTACTTTTTGATTTTTGGTATCTCCAATTTTGTAATTTGTTTTTCGGACTATTGCTTTTGCTGACAACTATGCATTCTGTCTCTCACTCAATAATAATAATAATAATTTCCTAATCCAGTTCAGAAGACTAAATGTTGTTTATTCCGCAAAAGATTTAATAAAAATTGAAAGAGAGGGAAAGGGAAGTATAAAAATAATCTGGACATTACGAGAAAATAGCAAAATATTAAGGAATTTGAAGGTTAAATATTGTTATCAAAATTTCTAGTACTGAAAAACGGGTTAGAAGAATGGCGAATCCAAAAGAAAATTTTCAAGCTAGAAAAGTATTTGATAGAAAAGCTAGAAAAATATCTGGCAGAAAAGCTAGAAAGATATCTGACGGAAACGCTAGAGAGATATCTCACAGAAAAGCTAGAACTACATCTAGTAGAAAAGCTAGAGAAATAACTAGAAGTAAGTTTATAAAAAAACATCTGGTAGAAAAGCTAGAAAAATATCTATCAGAAAAGCTAGAAAAAGATATGGCAGAAAAGCTGGAAAATACCTGGTTGAAAAGCTAGAAAATATCTCGTGGAAAGGCTAGAAAAATGCCTGGCAGAAAAGCAAGAAAAACATTTGACAGAACGGCTAGAAAAATATATGGTAGCAAAGCTGGAAAAGATATGGCAGAAAAGATAAGAAAAATATCTGTCAAAAATTAAAAATACTTGGTAAGAAAGTTAAAAAATATGTATGTATAGTGTAACCCGGATATAAGAGACCCGGATATAAGAGAAACCCGGATATAAGAGAAACCCGGATATAAGAGAGATTTTCTTGGTCCCAAATTAGAGCCTGTGTTTATGTATATATAATAGACCAAACCCGGATATAAGAGAAACCCGGATATAAGAGACTTCTTCTCTGGTTCCAACAACTCTCTTATATCCGGGTTACACTGTAATAACATGACTTGAAAAAGATCTGACAGAAAAGCTAAAAAATTATCTGGTTGAAAAGCTAGAACAATGGCAGAAAATCACTAAAAATATTGAACAAAAAAGACAAAAATATCTACTGTCAGAAGTGTAAAATTATATATATATATATATATATATATATATATATATATATATATATATATATATATATAGTGGGAAACAAAGATTCCTACATAATACAAATAGTTAATTTATTGTATTTCCAACCAATGAATAAACGTACTTTTTTATATAATTAACTGTACACAGATGCATAATAACTAGATATGCAGAAAAAAAAGAAAAAATAATAGAAATAAATCACATTTATCCCTGTGTATGAACATATATATATATATATATATATATATATTGTGTATATTTAGGCAGCAATTTTTCATTAATGCATGTTTCATTAAATAATATAAAGTTTTGTCTATTTATTTTAAGTAAGTTCCTTTCATATTGTCTGATAAGCTTAATCACATTATCGTTCATTAGATTATATATATATATATATATATATATATATATAAATGTACATGCAAGTGTTCACACACACACACATATATATATATATATATATATATATATATATATAGAGAGAGAGAGAGAGAGAGAGAGAGAGAGAGATCCTTCGGTGTAATTAAAACAGTGGTCAATGCAAAATAACAGAGCTTTTATGTATATATTAATAAATATGCATAAAACCCCACGCCAACAGTACGACTCAGAGTTTCATGCCGCGTAATCGTCAAGTACTGAGAGTACTGTCGGTGTGATATTATGCATATTTATATATATATATATATATATATATATATATATATATATATATATGAGAATTCTGAAAAATACAATTAGATTTATCAGTATTTCTCCGTTTGAAACAGTCCCGATGAGCATTGCAGCACAGAAATTGGAAATCCGAGGACGAATCGAAACCGTCCAAGCGACAACATTACTTAAATTAGTTAGAATGCAAGAAGTGTTCTGGCGTATTTAAGGGACTTTCTTTTCTTTGAGCTACAGTAAAAAGCCATTAGTTTTTACTGGTGGGTAAATTCGGCTAAAAAATCATAATAATAAAAACGTTACATCGCGATTGGCTTTACGCTTGTTTTGCCTAATGAGCTTTTAATTCGCTTCTGACTCCGTTCATTCTGTTGATAATAGAAACCTTTGTCGAGCTCTTCATAATCGTCTTTCTTTGTAGATGATCAAAACGATGTAGAGAGCAATGTTCCTCTCAGGAAGTAAATTCAGATCCGTACCACTTAAATGTAGATTGACAATCGCTATCTGGTTTCGCTTTCCGCGGTTTCAGTTATTCGCAGCGAACCGCAAAATGGAACTGTTCCTAGGTTTTGCTTAATAATAGCCCCAAAGCGCATCTTTCGCAATGCTAGCTATTCAGATAAGCCAAATAGTAGCCACAAGAAGTGAAATAATTGGTTCCTGAAGTTCACGGTAAAGCGTAAAGACCAATCTTTAATCCGCCAACTAACTATTATTGTAGTAGGAGATTGCTCGTACCAACAAAAAGCCGAAAAAAAAGTGACATTATATTTAAGCAAATTTAAGGAGTTTTACTTTCATTCATTCTCTAAAGACAAGCCCACCTTATAAAAATATGAAAATATATAACAAAAAAATCATAATCCATCTATCGAAATACACAATGAGTTCTCCATGTATAACGATAAATGAAGGTCAGCATTGGATGGTGCCTTTCGTTTTACACTTATGCATGCTAGCAGAGACTATTGTGGAGAAAATCAGGTAAGGGAAAGACATATTTCATTTGTGCTTTCTTAAATGCGATACTAACCTAGCCCTGCTGCGGGTGACAAAACCACACTGATAGATGAAATTTGTTAAAGCAGGATTTTGATGACGTCTCTGCTTCAGAGATTGACGAAGCTGATCACGGTGCTTCAGTCTACTGTCTTCAAAACCCTTTAACTTAATGAAACATGCCTTACGCCACTCCTTTCGGTTTGATGTTTGCACTTCCCAGGTTTTCAGATCAAAGTTGAGGCGTTTCAAGAAGCCTTTCAATTTGTCTTTTTAGCGTAAGAGTAGACGTACAACTAAAAGCTTAGAGTCTGGTAGTTGTCCATAGAGCACCTTTTTTGGATGCCTATACTTATCCATTCTCACAATATGGCCAGCCCACCTAAGTTGTATTTCTGCTAGAATGGGTTCAATGCCTGTGATATTGTTACATTTCTTCAGTATTACACTGCGGGCGACAAAACCACACTGATAGATGAAATTTGTTAAAGCAGGATTTTGATGACATCTCTGCTTCAGAGCTTGACGAAGCTGATCACGGAGCTTCAGTCTACTGTCTTCAAAGCCTTTTAACCTAATGAAACATGTCCTCCCATTTTTATCTCATATGGCACGAAGACAGCACATATGAAAGGCATCGTATGTGCTTGCACCATAGAAAAGGGTTAAAAGAACGACGGATCTGTATATGTCGATCTTTACTCTGAGGTGTTCCATAATCTATGTTTAAGATTACCGAATGCTGTGCTG